TTTATTAGGTGAACTAAGGGTGTGTGATGGTGTGTGCCAGTTTAGAGGTTTAGAGGGTGTACATATCATTTCCTATATATATATATATATATATATTGCTATACGATACAAGTTGTTCCTAATCAAATGAAAATAATTATGGTGAAAACCCACATTGTATGGCTCAAAATTGTTTGTGGAAGGAGAGCGTGCGATCATACTGTCGCATTTGTCTTTTCTGTCGAAATGAAGTCAACGGATGGCCGCATATATTGATAAGTGTTTGTGGGAGCTGGAGGAAAGAATTAGAATCGATCACCCGTTGGTGGGGATTGGTGGTACTAAACAAAAAATCTCCTGATTTGATTTGAGGGAAAAGATTCTGCCCATAAAGGAAAAAAAAAAGGAATGAAAAAGAAAATGCCGAACACGATTACTAATTTACTTTTGTGTGGTCCTCAAAATTCAAAACAATAAAATTTTCTTTTAACAAGAAATCGGCCATCATTAGGATAAAATATATATATTTATTTGAACCAATCCATCGCTACCTTTCTTAAGATTAAAGATTTTGGGCCGTGCTTGCTCGGAGTTGCATATGCACTTATAGTATAAGCAGTGGCGGAGCCAGGGGGGTGCGAGTGGCGGCGCTCGCCCCCCCTGAAATTTGAGAATCTTGCAAATTAGCATAAGAAAAATTATTTAGTCCCCCTGAACTTTGAAAATTTTAGTATTTTACCCCCCCTGAAAAAAATTTCTGCCTCCGCCCCTGAGTATAAGTACATTAATTAGACTTTTAAGGGGTGGTTTAGTAGTTAAAATTTTAAAATTTTAAATTAAAAATTTTAAATTAAAATTTAATAAAGAGAAATTAAAAAAAATTATCTTTTTTTGTATAATATATTCATATGCATAAAAAAAATAACTATAATAATTAGAGTAGTATTTCAAATATTCATGATACCGGAATGGGGTTGGTCCGGTTGGACATTAAATGGTTGTGCCCCTTATGTTTTACTTCGCACTAGAGCCACATATATATCTATATGGATCAATTGATACTGAAAAATAACGAAATCTGCAATCATACAGATCGAGATGTTATGGTTGTGGGGATGCCCGTTTCTGACCACCTCCTAACTCCGCACGGCTTTCACCCTCGACTGTTTGTCTTGCTTCCATCTGTCTCTTTGTGGACTTGTAATATATTGCGTACAATATTAACTGCCCCAAGCCCAACAATGTTCCTGACCCATTTGAAAACTGAAAAAAAAAAAAAAAAATGTATATAATGAAACAAAGAGAGTGAGCAGAAGGAGTCAAAAAGATGAAAGCAAAAATGAAAAATATATATATTTTTAATCACTTACACAGACGAAAGGGTCAAAAGGGAGTAAACCATAACAAGTCCAGGCAAAAGGGCAGACAAAGGAAGCCAAAGAGAGGTAAAAGGGCATGTATTCCACACTTTTTGTAGTCATCACCCGTTTCTGATCATCATCATCATTAACAAACAAATCAATAATATATATGTATTCATTAAAAGCTAGTGATTAATATTAACATATATTATGAATCATATATGTGATGTACTGACCATGACAGAAAAGGGCGAGGCATACATCATGATGATTGTGACATTACCGATGATTCCAACGGCCAGAGAACGGTGGCGTGTGGAGTGTAAACGAGTGAGGACAACAAGGGTGAGAACGGCAACCAAGATGAACTCGAGGAGCACCACCAGTCCCACCTTCAACCTCTTCTTCCTGTCGGAGTAGATGAAAAAGAGGATAACGAAGAAGAGTAAAATGACGCCGCCGGTGACGTTGACGGTTAAGAGGAGGGTGCTGTTTGGGTGCACCCAGGGCGTCGCGAACAGGGTCCAGACCATCTGGTTCATTAGCGTCACCAAGTATGGGGTTGGCGAGAAGTGTTCCACTGCCCTTTTCTTGAAAATTCGAATAAAAGTTTGCCTGCGCCAAATTATGTATATATATATATTAATTAATTAATTACCTGGCTAGCTAGCTAGCTTAATTAATTTCTCATTAATTAACAACGTCAACAAATGTTAATATGGAAAATCTGTCATCATGAGCTAGAGTTTAATTAATTAAGAATATTGAAGAGGGACCATTAATTAATAGGGAGAATTAACATTTAATCTAATATATATATTACGTACGCTGGTGACAAGTAGAGGAAGAGTGCAGTGATATTTCCTGGAAATCAAATAAATGCCACACATGATCAGAATTAAACAGCTAATTAATTAATGAGAAGACATATTTTCTGAGAATTGATAGAGGAAATTCAATGATTAATGAAAAGAAGACCTACCAACAACACCAGCCACATTTCGAGCAAGCTCAATTTTAGCTGGAACCATGGATTGATCCATATGAATATGATATCTAGTATGCTATAAATGTATGGAAAATATAAGGAAGGAATTTTATAAAAAGGAGGAATGAGGAGCTCCGATTCAATTGAAAACCCTTACATACGGAAATATAGTTTAGCAGTTATATGTATGTATATATATACATACACAGCACCGAGAGCACAAAGTCATGCAACTATTTGTTTACGCTGCAGCCTCAAATATTAATTAAACTTAAAAGATTTTATAATCAGCTGCCATATTATTGACATATACAAAACGTGGAAAGTTGTGGAATCTGATTCACGACCAACTTGGTCGACAATGATTCGTGCACATCACATTCCGTCTTCGTCCGTTGTACACTAATTTAAAAATAAATGTTTCATGATTTAGAATTAACTAGAGAAAGTCTTAGGGTTCGTTTAAGATTATTTTAAAGTACTATGATTATAATTGTAATTGTGACTATATTAAACTGTATGGTATTGTAATTGTGGTTAAAAGTTATTGATATATTTAGTTATTTATTTCTTTAAAATATTATGAATGAAATATGATATATTTTATTAATTATTAATTAAAATTTTAAAAATATTATAAGATATATAATTATTAAAATA